TTAAAAATGTGGTTCAGGTGTGTAAAGTCACGTGTGTTATTCAGGAGAGAGAGAGAGAGAGAGAGAGAGAGAGATTTTAATATGACATTGAAAACCAAATCATGTTTTCTAACTACAGTATACATCATACATTATGAATTACAGTATGTATCATGTATCATATTCCTCGCACAATGTCTCATATATCACGTATAACCATAAACATACATTATATACTACATTATTATCTATCATTCAACATTCACCTGGCATTATACACCAACTAGATATATTATTATTCAGGGTGCGACAACAGATGTAAAGGAGATTGTAGTTCAGAATAAAACAAAACGATAAAGTTATAAATTATCTGAGCGTTACTGTGGGGCCACTTGCTCATGTTTAAGACAATAAGGCTACACATAATCTGAAATAAATAATAGAAATTAATCAATAATAGTTAAAACATCTTAAAAAAAATTATATACATTTCACTCACGACTTCTGCCTCACCCTGTAGACTGTATCTCATATGCTAAAATATTATGAAAAAACAGACAGACGTTATAGTAATCTGATACGATGGTGAAACACTATCTTGCCCCTGTTCATCATCCCCTCTACAATCACTATTTTAGTTTATACAATAACTTCTTTCTTAAATCCATGTAGAAATTGGAAGGTTAAGTAAGAAGTTTACCTGTAGAATTTATAATAAGATTACCTGATACATCTCACATAGGTAAACCTGTACAGCATGAACCAACACCTTTATGTTAACAGTCTGAATGTGGCGTCTTAGATATTGGCAATAATAACAGTACAATGGCCAATTATACTTAAGGCGACTGGCAAAATTGGGGGAGGGAACATCAGGTACCACTTTACCCTAATATCATAACACGTCAAGGTTGTAAATGAACCCGCCAGTTGGGTCAATAACAATACGGGAGTCTCTTATAGTTCTGAACACTTTCCTTGAACAAACTCCTACATTCTACATCACCACCTCATTCTACGCTACAATCACTCGTTAACCAACAGAAGGTCAGACGAATCTCACTCAGACGCGTAAAAAAAAAATTGGACAAAAGTATATTAATATTATACGTGAGACTAATTTTAGGTTTACTTTAGGTTGTTTAGGTAAATCTAATCAAGGTTTAGTCTAATACATTTTAATTATACTTCAATTTCTAGGGTATCTAAAGTACATTGTTGATAATATTGTAATTTTATTTTATTTATTTATTTATTTATTTATTTTACGAATTCGTTATCTTAAGAAATTTTTATATATGTAAAGGTTTGTGTTTAGTGAGTGGACCGGGACAATACCTACAACCGTAAGATAGTGTACGAGTCATGGCTTATTGGATAACACCTGGTGGAACGTTTGTAGTCACACTTAAGGCCATCTAATCATCTTAACACCAGCCAGGTAGACACACACACACACACACACACACACACACATACACACGACCAATAAGGTATAGTGTAAGCAGTGTTAAGTACAGTACAAGCTATGGGAACATATTTGTGATCATTGACAATATCACCATCAAGGTTGAGAAGGAAAGAAGGGAATTTATCGTGAACCCAGACAGATTACGTATATATATATAGGAAAAGTTGAAAAATTACTATACCATGGCTAGGTGACTGTACTCAGAATCAAATAAAATCCATGAAAGTCAAAACACGCTTTGGGAACACACTCGTCTCACCCAAAACGTCACACAGGAACAGCCCGGAAAATCTTACCGGCGGGAGTATGTGTTGTGTTGTGTTGTGTTGAATATTTAATAGTTGTCTCTTGTACGAAGCTGTGACTTGGTGATGATGTTAATGTATAAAGAACCTAAAACAACATCGACAAGCCTATAACGGAGAGCCTTACAGTAGTGACAAGAGCAAACCCGACCGGTAGTAAGAATGATAAGGAGATACAAGATATGGTAAAAGAGATCAAAGGTCAGGGAAGACATTCAGCCAGCACAGAGTGGGGTGACAACAAGCCCTGACATTGTAATAACGAAGAACACCATAAATGACTTGATGAAATATATAACAAGAAGAAAAATAACCAGAAGATGTAAGAAAAATTATCTCCATTACCAAAAACACCACCAAGAGACTGTGGACCACATCACACCTAATGGCCCAAGAGACTAGAGATAGGAACTATATGAATCCCGAGACAACTAAAGGATATTGAGGA